GGAAAATTTTTGAATTTAGAGTCTCCGAAATGCCATTTCCTGGACTTTGGGGGAAGATTTGACAGAAATCTGATGGTCAGGAAACGGCATTATAACGTGTCGAAATTTGCAATTTGGTTTGAATTAGGGATGAGCCGATTAATCGGTAAATAATCGGCAAAGCCGATTAATCGGCCGTTTATTTAAATAATCGGTAATCGGCCGATTGTTGCTTGATAATCAGCAAATAATCGTCCATAAGACTTTTTCTGCAGCTGCCAAGCACATGCTAAAATACTGAATACAAGCGAATAGATTTTCACATTTTGTTGCAAAACCTGTGTCTTTTGTCTCGAGCGAAGTGAAGCTGGGAACATTTCCACTGAAAAGCGCAGCAGACTGAAAAACGCAGCAAAGCTGACAATATCCTGTTTTTACACCATAATCTGCCAAAACTAAACTTTGACTATTGACATGCAAGATTGAAGCTGTTTTCAATTGTACATAATGTGTATTGTGACAATAAAACCACATTTACAACTCCATTGTTGGTCATCTAGTGATTTTTTGCTTAATTGTTTCTTAAAATAATCGGCGGGTACCGATTAATCGGCCGATTAGTTACGACAATCGGCTTATCAATAATCGGCCTCAGTAATCGGCAATTTTCCTTATCGGCTCATCCTTAGTTTGAATTTAGTAGTAGTACTTATATTATGCAATGCTAACAACTTCCAGCGATTAATCTAATCCCAATTCTATTCTCTACTGATCTAGTGATCTGAATACAATTACAACATACAGTTCTTTTATACAATAACACACGGACCCCACGCATATGCATTTTAAGGTTTCCCTGCCTGGCTGCCAAAAGGGCGCATTTCAGCATTATTTCATTACTCACATTACTCATGATGTTTCTAGCGCAAACAACTAAATTGCGTACACAACTTTACATTATCATAACTTAAACTATCTAATTTGTGCCGCTCTTGTGATTCGTGAAGCATAATAAAGGGCATAATACCAGCAAAAAAGGGCATAATTCCTGTGATCGCTTCGAAACCTGACCAATATTCCGGTGATGAGACATTGTGTGTGATCACAGTTCATGTTTCTATATGAACGATTTCATGTGAGTCGTGAGGTAGCAAATTAGCAAATACGGTTAGACAAAATAGTCTGTATAATTTAATATATCACTTTGTCGCCTATGTGCTTAGTCTGTTTTATAAGCCTATAAACACATCTTTTCTCGGCAGTAAATATATATTAAGTAAGTAAATATATTTTTTCGAATGCGTTTTTTCCCACCCACTTTCAAATCTCGGTGCGGGATCGGCGCCCCCTTTTCATTTTTGTGCCCTGCAAGAATTGCCAGTTGGGGGAGGGGCGTGACCCCCCGGTCCCCCCTGCCAGCACGCCACTGGTGTACATTGTACAAGTGTGCAGTTAAGTGAGGAAAAATGCACACACAACTCAAGGATGTTCTATGTGCACACATGGTACTACACAGTTCTGAATAAATACACATACTGTATACGCTCGAGAAATGCACATAGAATATCTTCTGTACATATAGCAATTAACTTAGCAGTCTGGTTGACCATTCTTCAAGCTTTACGATGAGATATGCATTGATGAGATAGCTAGTGGGAGATCAGCAGGTTTTGAGTGACAATTTTAAATATAGTGACATCAGCATATTGATGATGGCACTCAAAATCCATTTGTGATATTAAATTGTAAATCACGTATTTCCTATCAAGTTTTGTCTTAAAGCTGTCGCAATACGTATTATGTTAACAATAACATTATTTATAATACTAGTGACATCTAGTAAAATTGCTCTATAGATAATTGCTACCAATGTCATACTCATCGTTTGAATTTCAAAATAATTTATTACAGCTACTTTATTATTACTATTGATAGTTTATTACCTCTTATTGCAGACTGGCTGCTGAGCGTCAATCCAAACAAAATCGCCAAAACCGATAAACGATTACAAAAATAACAATGAAAGCGACGTCCCACGCATAATTTGGCCATTTCGTCTTCAATATTGACTTGTCGTTGACACTTGACAGAAATTTGCGGCGTTGAAGACACGACCTCTACACGACTCAGACCAATATAAACGAACGTTATATAACTTATATATATATATTTTAAAAGCGCTGCATCAAAGCATGGTATTGGACCAGCACTTATAAGCTTAATCTTCACACTTGAAGCTTTAAAAACGATTTTTTAATTATCACTCAGTTTTGACGAGTTAGATAAAGCCGTTTTAGTCGTTTCCTCTAATTCGGCATGTTTTCTCGCGAGATTTCGCGTCACATTCGCGAATAGCGATTGCATATGGAAAATTTCTATTCAAAATTAACCTGCGATCTAACCTGCGATCAGGCCGCGGCTCTATGTATTTTAAAATATAAATAAAGACCATTGACTCACAATGAACAGTGCCATTGAACTACTCAAATTTTTAAAAAACACACGAGCAGACCACTGGAGTAGACTAGCTTTATAAGTAATTTGACAGGCAAATATGAAAACATCCTTAGTTTTCTTTTTCTTTGTTTTTTGAAGAAGACAAGTTTCAGTGACCCCCTGCAGTGATGCAGTCTGAATTATTATTAGATTAAAACCAGTGAGCTTTCCGTTTTGGATTCGAGTTCTCGCTGTAGGTATATATGGAATTAACCCTCTGTTATTTTCTAGCATTCTTTGCATTTTCTAAAAAAGAGAACTTAGAGCAGAGGCATACTCAACCTCGTACCCAGGGCCTCCAGGGCTGGGGCCGCCCCCCTGGCAAAATTTCCCCCCCCCCCCGACAAAATGGATTGTATAAAAAGGGGAATCCTTGGTTATATAGCTTCATGCTGTCAATAATGCAAAAATTCTGTAGAATATATGCTTTGCTGTGCATCAGTGTGAAACCTAAAATCTTGTTCGTTTATTTGCGGCACACAGCTTGAAACACATACCTTTTCTAACCCTAATTATTTCAATATGTATTAAATGAGGGTTAGATGAAGTTTAAACCAATCTGGTTTTTTTTTTTACCAGTGATTTCTTAACGCGGGCTCTGCAGTGGCGCCGTGGCCGGGGGGGGGGGGAGGGCATGGCCCTCCCCTATTGTTGTGACCTGTCGGAAAATTGTCAATGTTGTCGGAATCTTCGTCATGAAGCAACGGAAATCGGGAAAAGTGCTACGAAAGCAATTGTAATGTTATTATCCGGAAATTTTTTTTACCAAAAAAGGGGGGACGTTTTAAAATGTTGGCCCCACCTGGGTTTTTGCTGGCCCCCCTGACCAAAAATTCTGGCTATACGCCTCTGACTTTACTTAGGGGTAGTGATGGGCGATACCGAGTACTCGGTATTCGATACCAGCGATACCACAAACAGCGGTATCGGTATCGATTACTGACGTGGTATCGTTCGATACTTGCACCCTTTTTTAAACGACTTGTTTAATTTCACTTCTTGGTTGAATAAGACTTAATGAACCACTAAAATAACTCTTAATATTCCAAATGTGGTGCACCAAGTCATGTTTAAAAAATATTTATTACGTTTCGAGCTTTTGGTTTACTTATTAGCTTTTTATTAGCTTTATTTAGGTTACATACAGTAGTTTAAAATGGTTTTCCGTTAACCGGCAGGTATCGAAAGTGGCCGATACTAGCAATTTAAGTACTCACTTCCGGTATCGAAAATTGAAATTTTGTGTTTATTTTGGTATCGAAATAGGTATCGGTATCGACCGATACCGATCTTAAAAGTATCGGTATCGGTATCGAATTAAAAATCCTGGTATCGCCCATCACTACTTAGGGGCTGATTACATGGATGGGGCAAATCTTCCTTGGGCTGCAAAATGAGTTTTAAATCGGGTTTAGGATGATTTTAATATAATAAACCAATTATTTATCGCAAATTTATTTTACGCGAGTTTTAAAACCACAGTAAGGTCCTAAACAAACGAGTCAGCCCCGTTAACCGGGCCAGCTCGGCATCATGTAATCAGCACCTTAGAAAAGCTCTTGGAGGACTTGGAGAAGCTGTTGCATTTTCTGGAAAATTTTCTGGCAGAATTCAAGGAAATTTTAGGAAAAGGAATTTGATTGTGGAAACACAACCACATTTTAAAAATAATAAAAAATGAAAAGAATGAAAAGCTAAAAAATGGCGGCAAGATTGAAGATGATTGGTAAATTCACTATTTTATAAAATATTCAAACGAGTTATAAAGGAACAGTTTCATTTCTTACTGAGTATAACCTTACCTTATTTTAAAATAACCGGAAGTTTCTTTTTTCATGTAGATATTGGAGCTAATTTAAGTGGTAAGCAATTATTTAATAATGTAAGCAATTCAGAAGTTGGAACTGAAGAAATCTATTGTCAAAAAATGATGTAACCCAGGGCATAGGCAGTCCAAAAAGCTGTGTAGAATGCATGTGTGCCGCAAGCACTCAATGAAAAGTCACACATTTTTGGGCTGCTATGCCCAGGGGTAAGAGAGGAGAGGTCAGACAAAAACAGGGAACTTGACCTCGTACCTTGCCCCGGGTCTCAGAATTTTGACAGCCACTAACAGACCAAGAGTGTAGAATTTTTAAATGTTTTGGGCCACCATGTTGTAACAAGTTGTGAAAGCCTGGTGACCAAGAGGTCCAAGAACTTCCACTTGCGGCGATTGTTTCCTGGAAAAGGTGAAAGTGTACATCACAAGGAGTAAATGGAAAATAAAAAGAAATAAAGGGAATAACGGTATTTGGGAAGGAAAATATAAGGATATTTTACAGTCAAATCCAGTGTTCCATTGCCAGGAATATTGCAATATTATCACACAATCTTGCAATATTGATCGGCTGATTGCTCTAGCAAATTGCAACCGGCCGACACAGACAAATTGCAATTTTTACGTGTTGACAATTTGTCGATGCCAAGCATTTGATTGGCTTGTTTTGTACTAGTAGCCAATCAGGCTTTAGTTACAAACTTATGAAATTTTCAATTTTGCAGTTGATGGTTTTTAAAAAAATTATACTGTTACTAACTTACTATATGTAAAAATTGCAAATTGTTTTTGTGCCGGTTGCAATTTTCCTAGAGCAATCAGCCAATCAATGTTGTCTGACAATATTGCAATGTTGCCCGCAATGGAACACCGGATTTTACTGTAACATTGTCAGTTTTCTAAAAAGTATAAAGTTAAGTTTAAAAAAATCAAATGCTCCACCTTTTACATGGCCTCCCCCTCCCCCCTAATATCGATTTGTGCCTATAAGTAGAACTTTGATGTTTCCAGCAAAGGCCCTTCATTGGGAAAGTTAGTAGTATAATATTGTGTGTGCACGCAGCTAGTAAATAGATTGCTCCGTAAAACTATCACGTTTTGTACCATCTGATGTGAATTGTGGAGTAAAATCATAAAAAGGATTGTTGATAAAGAATTTATCTTTGGGAGAGTGAAGTTATTTTGGTAATACTTTGAATATTTTTTTGTAATTTGGTGAATTATTTGTCAAATTGCAGGAAATTTTAGAGTTAGTTAAATGTTAATAAGCACATGTAAGCTGGGCGGTTGATTTTGGTGTGTGCATATGACTTACAGTAATTACGTCATTCAAAGAATGATTTTATGAACTGAAAACATTAAGGTCAATAGACCGGTAATTACGTCACAGCTACATTGTTTTCAACTTAGGACCCTCTTAAATGGAATGGGTTTCAAATTTTTTTCCCACTGGCTACGCACAAGAAGCAGAGCATCCTTCAACACATGCATGAAAATTTTTTTTTATTTTGACCAATAAATGTGAGAAGTGTTTACACAAAAACAAGGCTAAGGGACCATTGCCCCTTTGGGCCCCTCAGCCTTGTTTTCGTGTGAAAGCTTATTCCCGCATTTATTGATCAAAATAATAATTTTTTTATCATGCATCTGTTAAAGGATGTTCTGCTTCGTTGCACATAGCCAGTGATAGAAAAAAACTTGAACTCCATTCCATTTAAATGTGATTTAAGGTGGTCCTGAGTTGAAAACAATGTACAGTAGTTGTGACGTAATTACCAGAAAGGTCTATTAGAATTTTAGAAGAATCAGTTTGGAACCATTATGAACTACGTACTGTAATAGGAACATCTGAGTAGTGCTGTGTGCCGGAGTTCTGCCAGTGCTCTGGTGTGTTTTTTTGGGGGGTTTTTGCCGGAGCCAGAGTTGCGGTTCTTCTTCCCATCTCCAGCTGGAATGTCATAGTGACAAGAAATGTGACGATTTTATGGAATAAGCGTTGGTTACAGATAATGGCAACATTGAATTTGTTGAATGTACATATAATCTGAAGTCATAACAACATTACAGCATAACTTACTGTTGTGTCAAACCATTTCGGTTACTATGGGATTGGAGAAAACTTGGACAATAATATCTGGACAGATGTTATCTTTTTTTTTTCTGTGTTGGTGTTGTGTACTCAGGTGAATAATATGTTTGCGATGTTACTCTGAGTGCATATCCACACCGGGCGAGCTTGAAAAATATGCCCGGCCACGGTGGGATTCGAACCTACGACCTTTGGAATACTAGCCCAATGCTCTTCCAACTGAGCTACGCGGTCAGGACGGTTCGAGTAAGTGATATTTCGGAACAGTATCTAGTTCCTTCAATACCAATGTGTTCTAATAATATGAATTTTTTTCTGTGTTGGTGTTGTATCTGATTAGTGTTGTATCTGTGTTGGTGTTGTATCTATTTAGATTTCTGCTATAAATGATATACCAGACATCATCCCTGAAAAATTGGAACCCTCCCCC